TGGTCCTCCCCGAACGTTCTCAGATTCGTAGCGCCGCGCCAGTCCCTTCGTTCCGGGACTCCATCCCGGCCAACACGCCTCGCTCCCGCATCGCGTTGGCCGACTGCTGGGCGACCACGACCGTTACGACCTTCAACCCCGTCGAGCCGCAGGGATCCGCCGATCCGCATCAGGGACGGCGCTGGCCGTTCGACACCACCACGGTCATCGAGCGGGACCCCGACTCGTTCCCAACGGACCTCGGTCTGCTCGACCCCGAAGACCTCGGCGACGAGGTGGTCGTTGCGCTTGCTGCCGCCGGTGACGATGCGGCCCAACACGACGACGATGCGGTCCAACACGACGACGAGCGTCCCACCAACGCCACGACGACTTTTCAGCGCCGAACGCACCACGTCTGCCCCGCGAGCTCCTCGCACGACGTCCACCTCGCCCGTGAGTCCGGCCGGCCCTGCCTCGGCATCGTCTTCCGCGCGACGTGGCAACGCCGACCCGCCCTCCGACGTCATCGACCTCACTCTGTCGTCGCCTCCGCCCTCCCAGCACGGGAGGGCGGAGGCGACGACAGAGTCAGATCGACAACGTGCGATGGCGACGCCCCGTCGACATGTCGACCACATCTCGTCGTCAGTCGCGCCCTCGTCCTCGCCCTCCTCGAGCTCCGGGTCGACGGACTTTATCGTTGGGTCGCCGACGTCTTCCTTTGACGCCGCGTCGTACTCTCCCTCGTCGACATCGTGCCCGTCCTCCGTGCGCATGGCCGACTCTGGCTCGTCGTGGTGCTCGTCTCCGTCCTCGCGCAACTTGTCGACCAGCCCGGGCCTTGCGTCACCGACGTCCTTGGACGCTGCCTCGGCCTCGTCCACGTCTTCGGTGCGCTTTGTCGACATTGCGTCGTCGCCGCTTCCTTTGGTCGCCGCCTCCTCCCCGCCCGGTCAAGACGTGGTCCTGGAGGCGTCCAGGGGACGCTCAGCCTCGTCCAGCGCGACTGGGTCCGTGTACTCGTCTCGGCCACGATCAGAGTCGTCCACCTCCGACATGTCCGTTGACTCGGCCCCTCCCTCGCCTCCCTCGCCTGCGCACAGCGTCCCCAGCGTGATCGTCATCTCAGACGACGAGTCGGACACCGACAGGCCTCGAGTCGATGCAGCGGCGCCTGACACAGCTCGCCCAGCCGCCCCAGCTCCTCGACCAGCCTCGTCCGTCAAGAAGCCGACGGTCCGCAATTTTCGAACGAGGAAGTATCGCATTGTCGTTCCTCCGGAGCTTCGCGAAGTCCTTCGAGACTGGCGCGCCTCTGCGCGCATAGTCAAGAACGAGGCCATCCGCTTGGCCAACATGGCCGAGCAGCACTCGCACCCGAACCTGAAGCCGTTTCGGGTGATGCGAGAGATCGTCAACAACGGCAGCGACTTTGTCCGCGAGCGGCCACACCTCGCCAAATGTCCGACTTACATCCGCCGCCAAGTCGTGATCGAGGCCATCTCCGCTCGCAAGTCGATCCTCACGCAGCACTACAACAAGCCCCGCTCACAACGGGGGCCGATTCCGACCATTTCGCCGAGCACGGCCCGCAGAGACAAGCGACAAGGCTTTTCTCTCGCTCTCGACCCTCAGTCCGGCTCGATCGACTTTGAAGTTGCCGAGGCGAGGGCACCTCGACGGGCTGCCAACGACACTGCTCCCGCATCCACGCCTGGTCGTCACGAACGCAGAATCACTTCGTTGACGCTCAAGATCGCTCCGCGACATGTCAGACGTCGTGGTGCGAGTCTGGACGTCAAGATCTGTCTTCGAGGACAACGCCAGCGCCAGTTCCTTGTCGACTCGTGCAATGTGCGTGGCATGGGCAGGGGCGACAAGTATCAAATGCCGCACGAATGGCTAATTCAGTGCGATCGCTACAGCCGCTGGTATCTGGTCGTTTACCACAAAGTCGCTTCGGATGCCGATTTCGAGGCAAACAAGCTGGCTCGCCAAGATCGCGGGGGAGAGACGACGCTGCAAGGTACGTATCATGTCTGTCGGTCCTCTTGTCGTTGTCTTTCGCCGTTACTGAAGACCGTTCCGCCCCTTCTCTTCTCGTCAGGATCCGTGCGAGTCAAGTCCTGCGATCCAGGCGTCCGCACTCCGTATTCGATCTACACTTCTGAGGGCGAGACGATCGATATTGGTGACGATGCGGACAAGGACCGCCTCCACCGTCTTCGTCTGGAGATGGACGAGCTGAAGTCGCGGCGGCACAAGACTCGGCCGCTCGACCGTCGCCCGTCACGCAACATCAGTCGAAAGAAGCGCGCCAAACGGAAGCGATTCATGCTCAATTCGAAAGAGCGTCAGGACGTTCTCGGTAAGCAGCTGCGAGTGTCCGAGAAGATCCGAAATCTCGTCACGGATCTGCACTGTCGGACCGCCAACTTTCTGGCGGTCTCGTCCGACGTTGTCGTGATGCCACGCATGGAGGTCGGCCGCATGATCAGTCGCAAAGGAGGCCTCGCCGTGTCCACCAAGCGCCAGCTCAAGGGCTGGTCGCACGCCAAGTTCATCGACCGACTCGCCACGAAGTGCCACGACGTCCAGTTCGACCCGAAACACCAGCGCCCTCGAGAGACCGTCCTCCTCGTCCAACCCGAGGCCTATACGTCCAAGACGTGCGGCCGTTGTGGCGTTCTCAACGAGCGGCTTGGCTCGAATCGAGTGTTCGAGTGTCCGAATCCGGGCTGCGGCTACGTGGCTGATCGCGACCACAATGGCGCGTTCAATATGATCGTCAAGGCCATCCGATAGTCGGTCATCGTTGCTTCTGGTTCGTAGTCTCGTCGTCCACAGTCTCGTCGTCTTTGTTTCGTCTCGTTTCCTTTCGTCTTCTGGCGCAGCTGTCACGCCTGATGTAGCCAGGCGGGACCACTGTCCAGAGTGACGGTGTCGTTTGGGCGCTTCGGTCCCTGAGCGATATCGTCCAGCGCTTCGGCATCTTTGTCGGGTTCTGCTGCAACGGATCGGTCTTGTCTCCTCGAGGCATGTTCTGGATCCTAGGACTCACTCACGCTCAGACGGGCGCTCTGCCCAAATTTCGGTCAGCGCTCGAAAGTCACTTCGCGGCTTACTTTTTGTGTCTGTTTCCTTCGTATCGTTTGTCTCTTTCGTCTCGTTTGTCTTGTTCGCTTCATACCTCAGTCGCACATTTCATGCACGCTATCGTAATCAATCCGCTTTACTGCATTTCCGACGTTGAAGCGTCGCTGCTACTCGGTGTGATTCATCTTGAAGACGGTCTTGAGCACCTTGCGGTCGTTGAAGAGCTTGTAGTACTCGGGAGCGTCCTCGATCGGGCGAGTGTGCTGGATGAAGCTTCCAAACAAGTCGTGGTGCTTGGAGAGGAGCTTGACGGCGGGGTCGAAGACGGCTCGGACAGGGCAGCGGCCGAATTGGAATCGCAGGTTCTTGTTGTACAGATCGGGGCCTTGAAGCGTGACAGTGTGCGTGTGAATGCCGCACGATGAGATGACACCAAAGTTGCGGACGATCTGCACAGCCAAGTCGAGGGCGGGGCCAGCACCCACGACTTCCAGAGCAACGTCGGCGCCTCGACCCTCGGTGGCTTCCTTGACGGTCTTGACTGGATCATCGTCGGTGAGATGGAGCGGGATGGCACCGTGCTTCTTGGCTTCGTCGAGACGCTCGGGGACAGAGTCGACGGCGTAGACCGTTTTGAAGAACGAACATGCGGCAGTGATCGCACAGAGGCCAACGGGACCGCATCCGATCACGACAGCCACCGTGTCTTTGCGCTCGGCGTCGTTGAGCATCGTGTAGGCGTTGTTCGCAACAAAGTAGCCGGTAGGGAAGATGTCGGCCGTGAGCAGCATGATCTCGTCGGGCACATCGCTAGGGATGGGATAGAGCGTTGTGTCGGCCAGCGGAACAAGAACGTATTCTGCCTGAGCGCCGTCGAGCGGCACCGATCCAAACACGCGGGATTGAGTGCAGCGGCCCGTCTGGTTGCGGTTGCAGAAGAAGCAGTCGCCGCACGAGATGGTGAACGGAGAGACGACCTTGTCGCCTTTCTTCCAGTTCTCGATACCATCGCCGATCTCGTAGACCTCGCCGACGAACTCGTGACCGAGCACGAAATCGTACTTGGGAACGGGCTGATGGCCACGGTAGATGTGCAAGTCGGAGCCGCAGAGAGCGGCGAGGCTGACCTTGACGACGGCTTCGCCCTTGCCCGCTCTGGGGATGGGTCGCTCGAGAACAGCAACCTGCTCGGGGCCTTGAATGACGACCGCCTTCATGGTGGTGGGTGCGGACATGACGTTGGTAGACGAATGTGGACGACGCTGAGTATGTGCTGCGTGGAGATGGGAGTCGAGAGGAAAGGTCGAGAGCGAGCGAGAAAGGTGCGGAAACGAAACAAAGGTGTCGCGTGCGGGCCGCCGATTCCCCGCAAAAATGGTTATCCCCGCACTTTTGCTCGGCTGTCGAACCGGAAGTCTCGGTACAGTAGACGACCGGCACAAAAAGCTCATGTGCCCGAACAGTGCTGACTCGCAAGCAATGGTCATCTGACTTTTCCATCGACGTGGCTCTGTGTTTCTCTATACCGTCACTCGCTTGAATACAGCCACAAATCGATGGTAGCACAAGCTCGTGACACCCCGTGACAACAGTGACAGTGTGTTCTATCACTCGATAGATCTCGGACAGCCATTTCACGCTTCAGATCCGTTTCGGTCGATCCATCGATTCGGCGCTACCACGAAGATGACAAGCTCAAGAACAGTTTGTGGAGAAGACAGGTGACAAAGAGGGTGAGCCATGGCGCGCGGGATCTTCCGAACACTTGTGCTACGCCGCGGCGTCCGGAAAATGTCCAAGGCGGCCACGCGCCCAAAATTTTCGGCCACATCAAATTTTTCCGCAACCATAGAAACCGCCATGAGATGTCAAAGATTCAGTAGCAATGTATACACCATTTTGCCTCATTTTTCGCCAAAGGAGCCGGATTGGCCAAGCGGTAAGGCATCCAACTTGTATACAGGCACTTTAGCAGTGTCCGAATGCTGAAATTGGGAGATCACTCGTTCGAACCGGGTATTCGGCACTCCAGCTTCGTTATTGATCCCTTTTTTGGTGGTCGTAGGGGTCTTCTGAGGTCAGGAAAGTGTTAGAACACATGAAAAAGCATCAAAACCCCGACGATTTGAAGCATTGTCAAGACCCTGTGTAACGATGAAGGGAGGGTCGCACAAGCAAAAAAAAAGCCGCGCTTTCACGTCGCGATCCACGTGAGACGAATTTACCGAAAAATCACATTTTCTTTTTCTTTTCTTTTTGTTTGGTGATTTTGAAAAAATGGGCTCTCACTCTCCACTTTGAACGTCATGGCTGAACTCGTCTCCCACTAATCACCACCACCATCACTACTACCATCACTCTTGCGCAGGCGACAGCAACACCGACGAGCTACCATGTCGGACTCGAGCTCCTCCTCGTCATGGCTCTCGTCTCTGTCGACGCCCAACGGCAGAAACGCACTGCTTCTTGGCTCGATCGCGGTAGGCTCTTCGATTGCGACAGCTGCTGCCATCTTGGGCACGCAACGCATCACACGACGAAAGAAGCGTCAGGATCTGTCGGATGCCGTCACCAAGTCGGCAAATACGCAGGGCACGGATCGACTGCAGAGGTTTGACCTCGACCGCGACGGAGCGTCGTCTTCGACGGATGGAGGCACGCCGCGCTACCTTTCCGGCCTGGCGAGCAACTCGCTGAGGCCAGCATCGCACCTGCGCAACTCGACCAGCTTCTACTCTTCCAACAACATGCCTCAATCACCTGCTGGGCCATCACGTACCGAGACAATCGGCCGCAACGACGTCTCTTCTCGAAAGCGTCTGCCTTCGGTCGAACAGTGGGACGAGAGCCTCATCCGCGAACAACTCTCACGCAACTACAGCTTCTTGGGCGAAGAGGGCATGACGGCCATCCGCAACTCGTTTGTCATTGTCGTCGGTGCAGGAGGCGTTGGATCGTGGGCGGCTCTGATGCTTCTGCGCTCGGGTGTCTCCAAGCTTCGTCTCATCGACTTTGACCAGGTCTCGCTCTCCTCGCTCAACCGACACGCTTGCGCTACGCTCGAGGATGTCGGTCGACCAAAAGTGGTCTGCTGTGCGGAGAAATTTGCGCAGATCGCACCTTGGGCCAAGCTCGAAGCCTGGGTGGAGCTCTTCCGTGGAGACGAGGCCGAACGACTCTTGGGCGGCAGCCCGACGTACGTGGTGGATGCGATCGACAACATCGATACCAAGGTCGAGCTGCTGCGTTTCTGCGCCGAACGCAAGATCAAGGTCATCAGCTCCATGGGTGCGGGTGCCAAGAGCGATCCGAGCCGCATCCAGATTTCCGATATCAGTGTAACATCAGAGGATCCGCTCGCACGCAGCGTGCGTCGACGTTTGAGGGCGCTCGGCTTGCCGCCCATCCCGCCCAAGGAGGTGGAGGAGAAGGCAAAGCGCGAAGCGGAACAGCTCGAGAAAGCACAATCGCAGTCGGCTCCTCGTCGACCCAACAACAAGCAGGGCGGCAAGGGCAAAAAGGGAGGCAACAAGCCATCGACGCTCGACGCACCTTCGGCCCATGTCGATGTCGACCGCACACCCATGAAGGCGAGTCCCAGCGACGAATTGGCGCGCAGAGCTGCCGACAACGGGAGCAGCAGTGGATCGTCTTCGCCCAAGGCAGGCTCGAATGGCAACCTGAGCGGTCTGCAGCCGCGATACACTCGCAACGCGACCTCTTCGCCGTCTCCGCTGGCCTCTCGGAGTGGCAGCTCGACCGACCTCACTCTGCTAAACGGATCCAGCAGCAACGATACGGCTCTTAGCTCGGCATCGAGCTCCCGCGCAGTGTCGGCAGCCATGCCCCAGGCACCACGCCACAGCCGACGGGCGAGCAGCGTGTCGTCATTTGGATCGGGCGCGTACGCGACGCCCATGACGACGCCTTCGGACGAGATGGCGGCGCTGCTGCCGGACGAGGGCGACCAGGATACGAGCCTGCGACCGCTGGACGACGAAAAGGAGGGCTCTGGCTCGCTGGAGGGCACACAGGTTCTGATGGACCGACGTGCGTCTCAAAGCAGTGCTGCCGCCTCGGACGCTACTGCGGTCGACCTGGCAGCGCACTCTGCACCGCGCACGCAGATGTCCGACAAGCTGCGCAGACGCGTTTCCGAAGTGGAGGAGCTGTCGCCATCGCCGTCCAGCTCGTCGCCCGCTTTGTCGCGCTCAGCATCGTTCAAGCCCACGCTGGCGTCTACACCGTCCGCTGCGGAAGAGACGACCGAGTTCACAGAGCCGACGTTTTTCATCCCGTGCGTCTACTCGACCGAGAAGTCCGACACGCGTCTGCTGCCGCTGGACGAGGAAGAGTTCGAAAAGGGCAACGTGGACGAGTTGGCGGCGCTCGAGGACTTCCGCGTGCGCATCCTGCCTGTGCTGGGGCCTCTGCCCGCCATGTTCGGCCTGGCCGTCGCGACGTTCATCATCTGCGAGATCGGCGGGCAAAAGATGGAGCCTCTGGCGTTCAAAGGACGCCGCAAGCTGTACGAAAAGCTGTTCCACGACCTGTCGGTCTCCGAGTCGCGCCACCCCGTGCCGGGCACCCAAGCGTCGGCGCAAGATGCAAACAACACGGGCCCGCGCCACTACATCCCGTTCAGCATCAACGACATCGCATACCTGTTCGAAGAGGTCTTCCGTGGCCGAAGCATCGTGCCGCCCTTTGACAGCCTGTCGGGCGCGCAGCTCGAGCGGTGGGACTCGACGCTGCCGCTGAGCTTCCAGAATGTCGCGCTCTTCTCGCGCGCGCAGGCCAAAGTGCACGAGGCCGAGGTGCTCAAGAAGGGCAGGAGCCCCGTCGAGGTGTGGGGGGCCGATGCGGCACACATGATCAAGCGCAGGATGGCGAGCGAGCGCCGGAGCGGCTTCTTCCGCTTCTGACGGAAATGCAGTGTGAAAGTGTTGATCGTCATGCCGGTGTATAATTACAAAAGAGAAAAGTGGCGAGCCCTCGGGCTGCTTTTGAGGTTGAGTGTGGTCGCTCACTTGTCAGTGATGCAGCCGTGCGAAGCGTCCGCGACATTGCGAACAAACTTGAGCAAGTGACCAGACTTGGGCTTGAGCGGGAGCGCCTTCCACGACGCGCGGCGCTTCTCGAGATCCGCGTCCGAAACACCGACGAGCTCGAGCGTATTGGTCTCGGCATCGATGCTAATGACATCGCCATCCTGAACAAGGCCGATGGGGCCACCGACCTGCGCCTCGGGCACGACGTGGCCAATGACGAACCCGTGACTTCCACCCGAGAATCGGCCGTCGGTGAGACACGCGACATCCTGGCCGAGACCGGCGCCCATGATGAGACTGGTGGGCTTCAACATCTCGGGCATACCAGGTCCGCCCTGGGGGCCCTTGTAGCGCAGCACGATGACCGTCTTTTCGCCCTTCTTGATCTCGCCCTTTTCGACGGCAGCGACCATGGCGTCCTCCGTGTCAAAGACGCGCGCCTTGCCCGTGAACGACAGACCCTCCTTGCCGGTGATCTTGGCGACGGCACCACCGGGCGCGAGGTTGCCCTTGAGAATGCGAATGTGACCGGTGCTCTTGAGCGGCTTGTCGACGGGGTAGAGCACGTCCTGGTTGGCGGGCAGCTTGCCGCGTGCGTGGGTCCATCGGTCGACGTTCTCGGCGAGCGTGCGGCCGGTGACGGTCATGTGCTCGCCCTTCATGAGCTTGTTCTCGATGCAGTACTGGATGACGGTGGGGATGCCGCCGAGCTTGGAGTGGACGTCCTCCATGACATACTTGCCCGAGGGCTTGAGGTTGGCGAGGAAAGGCGTGGCGTCGGCGATGCGTTGGAACTCGTCAATGTCGAGCTGGATGCCGACCGAGTGGGCGATGGCGATGAGATGCAGCACGGCGTTGGTGGAGCCGCCGAGCACCATGGTGAGCGCGATGGCGTCCTCGAAAGCGGCGCGGGTCATAATGTCGCGCGGCTTGATGTCCTTTTCGAGCACGAGACGCATGGCGGCACCCATGTTTTCGGCCTCGGCAATCTTCTCGGGGTACTCTGCAGGGAACGAGGAGCTGCCTGGGAGGGTCATACCGAGGGCCTCGGCGCACGAGGCCATGGTGTTGGCGGTGTACATGCCACCGCAGGCACCGGGGCCGGGGCAGGCGTTGCGGACCGTGTCGTAGCGGATCTTTTCGGCGTCCGGGGTGCCGCCGTTGGCGAGGTACTGGCCGTAGGACTGGAAGGCAGAGACAATGTCGAGGGTGCCTTCGACGCTGGCGCATCCACCGGGGCGAATGGTGCCTCCGTAAAGCATGATACCGGGACGGTTGAGACGACCGAGCGCCATCAAAACACCGGGCATGTTCTTGTCACATCCTGGGATGACGACGGCACCGTCGAGCCAGTGACCACCGCAGGCGGACTCGACGGAATCGGCAATCAAGTCACGCGAGGGGAGCGAGTAGGACATGGCGTCGGTGCCCATTGAGATACCGTCCGAAACGCCGACGGCGCCAAACTGGTATCCAGTGAGACCGGCTTCCTGGACCGACTTTTTGACGCGCTGGGAGATGGCGAGGAGATGGGCGTTGCAGGGGTTGCCCTCGTACCAGATGGAGCCGATGCCGACCATGGCGCGGGTGAGGTCCTCGTCGGACTCGATGCCGTCGGTGGCGTAGAGCATGGCCTGGGAGGCGCCCTGGTCCTTGGGCCTGGTGATGATCCGCGAGTACTTGTTGAGTGCGCCGGGGGCAGCACGTTCGGCGCTGAGCGAGGACGAGGAGGAGATGGCGCGACGGGAGGCGAGGTTGCCGCCGCGGAGGAGCGAGGCCGTCGAGGGCCTGAGAGCGGATCGCAGCATGGTGATTGACGGCAGTGATCGATGGTGATGGAAGAGAGGGAGAGAAGGATGTGACTTTTGGAAGAAGTGAGTTCTGAACGCACTTCCGAAGACTGAACAGCGCTGTCTGCTGCCGAGTCATTTTCGTTCAAAGGCTAAAAAAGCGGACATTTCTTCCGACCTCGTCG